CACTGTGGAAGACAGTATGGAGATACCCCAGAAATTTGAATATAGACCTACCATAGGAACCAGCCATCCCACTCCTAGGAATCTATCCAAACCAAGAGAAATCAGCATATGAAAGAGATATATGTAACCACATGCTCACTGCAGCACAATTCACAATAGCTATGATATGGGATCAACCCAGTTGTCCATAAACTTTTGAATGTATAAAGAAATTATGGCATATATAAACTATGGATTACTACTCAGCTGTAAAGAAAAATGGAATTCTGTCTTTTGCCAAAAGATGGATGCAACTAGAAAACATTATACTTAGTGAAATAAGTCAGTCCCCAAAAGACAGATATCATATGTTTTCCCTGATCTGAGGCAACAAATAGAGTTCCTAAAATGTAATACATTGGAGTGAAATAGGCACTTTTAGATTCGATGATTTTTTTACAGTCCTTGTCCTTTCCATGAAGGAACATTGTTTGTTTTTTTTTTTTTTCTTTCTTTTTTCCTCATACTATTTGTTGAACTCTTTCACCTAGTGTAGGTTTAACTATATGATCATCAACTAAACTGAGAATAGATCTTTGTAAAAAGATCTCTGTATAAAGAATGGGAATGTGAGAGGGAGGAGGAAGAAAAGTTGGAGCATGGGCAAGAGCGAGGGGAGGGCAGGGAGAGTGTCTCAATGCTTCTAAATCCATATATATGAAATACATGAAACTTGTATGACTTAAATCAAATTTTATAAAAAGAAAAATACTTTAAAATTGTTGAAAAATAAAATGAACATCTATGATTAATCAAGGAAAATTAAACAATTGTGGTGCCAATTGATGTAAACTTGTTTAATGATTTGTGTTTTCCATGTCCCCTATCATTTTTATCTCTATCAGAAATATGTCTGATAGCAGTGCTGACATTTTAATAGCTGTCTATTTCTTTAGTTGAATGAAACAGCAACACTCTTTTATGTATGTTTGTGATATGCTTAAGTCTTCTTCCATTTCTCATGCATTGAAGCTCTAACCTCTTTAAAAAGAATTTCCTGTGCATTAATTTCCTTGGTACCACAGCTTGATAAGTTCTCTGACTGATATTTCTATTTGATACACCTAGGATATTTGTTTCTCTCATTCTCTATTTCAATTATTCATTTTTATTCTTTTCTATTCTGTTGTTCTTAAGGTTCATTTTCATCTCTCATTGTGTTGTATCTTACTTCTCATACTTAACATTTTCTTCTATATTATGTCAGTATTCTTATACATGGTTTCAGCTACTTTGAAATTCATCAATTCCTTAAAACTTTAACGACAAAAGCCTGAACTTGGACTAAACAAACTCAAATATACATATAGTTCCTATAAATATCCTTACTTGTAACCTAAATTCATGAGAGGAAGTTAAAGATACAGTTATTTCAAATAATGAAGATTAATTTGTAAAGAATAGAATATCAGAACTCAGCAATAAAAGGGTTGGAATGGAAAGTTGTTTAAGTTATTCCTATGATCCTACATAGGAATACCTGGGTTTCAGTCCCAGCTCACTCTTCATTCTAGCTTTCTGCTGCTCTGCACCCGGTGAGTCAGCAGGTGATGGCTCAAGTACTTGGGTCCCTGCTACCTTTGTGAGAAACTCAGGATTGAGTTCCAGGCTTTGCCTGAACCAGCCCTGGATGTTAATGGGAATTTGGGAAGTAAACCAGATGATGGGAGATCTCTCTCTGTCTCTTCTCTCTGCCTTTCAAATAGGAAGTAAAAAGAATTATAAATGATTTTATACATAATTTCACATTACTGTAGTGGCAGACTATCATTACCAATAACTGTTTTCCTTCGGATCACTAATTAGATATAATTCTCTTCCTTGGTGACAACATCATTCCCAGTATGAGATATTACTTGAAAACTATGCCCAGTTTGAATCTTGAGGAAAACCATCTGACATTTTATGGAGAAACACCTCTTCAGAAACCTTTATTCATGTCTTATTATACTTGTGAATAATAAAACAGAGGTAACTTTTGTTAACAGCTCAGATTTTGTAGAATGTGTATTTCTTCACCTAGAAACCAGGATTAATGTGTATGTCAAGCAATGCTTTTTATTATTGGTTTTTATTCAGAAAGAATGAAATGAACTTTTACAAAGTCAAAATAGGAAATTATCAGCTACTGGATTTGAGAGACACTTAAAAACTTCTGATTTCTGATCTTGAATATCTTAATATATAATATTGGGAATAGAGCTTCCCCTTATCACAGGATACTGTTAGTATAAAATGTCTGTGAAGTACTTTAGAAACTGCTTTGTCCTGTGCAAGTAATACCTGGTACTATTGCTAGTTCTATTTTTGCCATAGAGACTTATAATTGGTTATTTATTTTGGAAAAAAGTTATGTCAGTATTTCAAACAACATTAACCTATATTTGAAAAAGAAATATGAAGTCTTATTTTTACCTTTACAATACTTTGTAAAAAGTACAGAGATTTTAAAAAGTTTGACTTTTAAAAAACAAAAGTAAACTATTGGCAACTTTTATTACCATTAGCCATATGATGCATTTTCAATTTGCCAATATTAAAATGGCAACTTTTCACGTTTAACATGACTGTTGGAAGGCTTATTTAGTTTAGCAGAACATGAATTTCATGGCAATATATTTTTCCAGGAAGAAGAGCAGTACATACATATGAAGATATTTAGAGTAGATGTTATTCTGAAATACTGAAGCTGTTCAAAATTTTAAAGCCAAAGGACTGAGGAGGGAACTATATTTACAAAATTGGAAGTTTTCAAGAGATCCAATTTTGGTTGTAAATTTTAGACCTGCTGATCTCAAGTAGGACTAAAACTAATTCAAAGTCTCTCCTAACTCCTCTGAATTCCTAACATATTCTTCAAAGCAATTTATATGCAAATGTTTATTTGAAAAAAATGCAGGTCTATGGGAATAAACACCCAACTCTGCTATATGTCACTATCATTTTTAAATCTAAAATAAGACTCATTTGGTCTCCATAATAAGCCTTGTTTTGTGTCTCATGATTGTTTATTTCCATATATAAAGTGGTACCATCCACCTTATGTGCAGAATCCCTGCTTGAGTTGACTTACTCAAACAAATTCGACTTCAGTGTTCTTTACCTTCAACTTACTTAACTATCTTGTCTCTCTAAAATGAACAGATGGGTATAAAAATGTACAAGTGTCCAGTAAATAATTTAGTTGATAGACTTGTGTATAAATGAGCATCACAATACCCTAGTGGCTAGTATTTTGCTGCTCATTTCCTTGAGTCTGGGTTTGAGGATAGGTATGTATTTTAAGAGTTGATTCTATCACTGGCAATTTATTATCTCATCCAGGAAATGAAACAAATTGGCAACACATGATGCACATTTGTTATATTTGGCTAGGTGTGTCTTTCCTCACTTTCTAGAAGCTTCCCTGTTTAATTGGTTGGTGGCTGTTGCTTAAAGATTAAAATCTCCAAATGCAGAAATCAGAGAGGCTAGTTCTTCCTTTACACACCATAGTGCAATTATGGCTCATTCCATAATTCCATTCCAACTGGAGCATAATTCCAGCTAACTGGATAAGGAGGATAAGATATTAGTGAGCCCTCACTACTTAACTTTAAGTCCCCCAATGTACCCCTTCACTCTGTTTCTCTATTAGCTTATTCTGTATTATACTGCAATTTGTTTATTGTAGTCCCCCCAACTAGCATATAAATTCCATAAATTTAGGAACATGTTTTCTTCATTGCAACATCCTCCAAACCAATAGTAGCCTCTTCTCCTCAGTATTTTCTCACAACTGCATGTTATATAAATGAATGAGTCACAGAAGTGCAAGTAGTAAAAGCAGAAGCATCCTGATATGTTTTAATGACCTAATATTGTGTTTGAGCCTACTACTTGATTGTCCAGCTGCCTTAGTTTCCTATATTTTATTAGATTCTTCAATTATTTTCTCAAGAACTGCTTTTTACTTTTTGGCCATTTCTTGCATCTTATGTAAAAAGGAATCAAAATTCCTTTTTTTGTTCTCCTTCTAAAACTATTACATTCAATAGATAGAGAGCACATGCTAAAGTATCATATTACTACAAGCCTACAAGTTTCTGGGCTGAAACTACATAGGAGATAATTGGAAAGGTTTAAATTGCTGTCTTAATCTGCTTGAGAAGACAAAACACTATACAAAAGACTGGTGGACTTAGACAACAGAAATTTATTTATTAGGATTTTGTAGATTGAGAAGTCCAAGATTCAGGTACTAACTGATTGAGTGTTGCTGAAGGGTCAATTTTTGAGTTGTCAATGTCTGCCTTATTATTCTTACAACAGCCTTTCAGTGCATTTGGGTGGAGGAGGCAGTGGGGCAGGGTTGGGGGTGAGAGGGAGGGACATCTTCCATTCTATGAGTCTGCTGGGTATCCTGCTTCCCATGTTGGATTGTTCTCTCCCTTTTTTATTTTATCAGTTAGTATTAGCACACACTAGTCTTGTTTATGTGATCCCTTTGACTCTTAGACCTATCAGTATGATCAACTGTGAACTGAAACTGATCACTTTGATGAGTGAGATGGCATTGGTACATGCCACCTTGATAGGATTGAATTGGAATCCACTGGCACATTTCTAACTCTACTGTCAGGGAACGGGACAGCCTGGCCAGCTGTGCCCGTCCCAACATGTACAAGCATGAGAAGTTTAGTGCTGGGCTTTTTCCATCCTGCCCGTTGCTAACCACAAGATCCTGTTTTGACTTTAAGCATCCTGTTATTGCTTGTTTCCCACATTTACTAAGTTTTGTTTCTTGCTGATTTGGTAACATGTTTTCTGCATATCATATATAAACAGGTGAACGGTGGGAGGGAGATATATAAGAGGGTTGGAGGAGGCGAAGACGGCGGGTGTACGCGAGATGTAACCCGAGTCTGCTGAAAAATAAAGTGGAAGCTGAAAAGCCGATAAACGCGTCTGGTGTCTCCGAGGTCTCACTGGCGTTAACCTATCCGGAAGGTGCACGCGTGCAACTGGTGCCATGACTTGGATCGCTGCGACGTGGAAAGAAGGTAAGGAAAAAAAAAAAAAGTCTATAGACGGGAGTCTAGGGGAAAAAGCCTAGGAATACCGTGGTACAATGGGGAACACACAGTCCACCATGAAAATGCACCTATTGATTAGCCGCCTTTCAAAGGCAACGGGGACACCCGTAAAGAGTGTAGCTGTGTGCAGTTTTACTAGGATACTATATAAAACTTGTCCTTGGTTTGTTGAAGAAGGAGATTTATCACAGGTTCAGTGGCGACGGGTGGGACGTGAATTGTGAAACGCTGGAGTAGAGGAGGGAATGATCCGCTTGTGGTATCTGATAGATAGTGCCTTACGGTCAGAGGATGACCAGGTCGGGGAACTCTTAGATGAAGGCTCCGAACTACTGGAGGAGCTCAGCGAAGACTCCCATGATGGTAGCGAAAAAGGAGAATCGCCTCCACTATACCCGGAGTTGCCCTTAATGCCCTCCACTCCTCCTTACGAACTGCCCCCTCATCCTATGCACTGTTGCTGTTTTGCCGGCAATGCTTCAAGCGAGATGAGGCCCATAGTTCTAGAGTCTGGGCCAGAGAAACAGACTAGAAGGCAAATACTTGAAAACCAAAGTGCTCTTAATGACGATGAAGCCGCTTTTCTTATAAATACTGGGGAATCAACTCCCAACCCACCGCGGTGCCTGAAACCAAATTGGGCAGAGTCCTTTAACCCCCATCAGATCTTTCCAGTGACTGAAGACCGCCAAGGAAATCGCGGGTGGACCCCGGTCAACTTTACAGCATTAAAAGAGCTGCAAAAGGCAGTGACTCTCTATGGGCCACATGCGAACTTCACCAAAGCTATCCTAGGAACTTTAGGCACTCAGGGCCTAGTCCCTGAAGATTGGAGAAATGTCTGTAAGGCAGTCCTTTCAGCAGGAGATTATCTCTTATGGTCAGCCGCTTATAGGGAACTAGCTCGTACTCAGGCAGCGCAAAACCGAGCTGATGGACAACCTGCCTGGAATGAGGACATGTTAAATGGAGAGGGAGCATTCCAGGCAGAAGCGGTGCAAGCTTGGTGTCCCCGAGAGGTATTACAACAAATAAGAGATATAGCCTTGAGGGCCTGGAAGGTAGTGCCAAAAAAAGGGGAAGTTAAACACAGTCTTACTAAGTTAATACAAGGACCGACCGAGCCTTATGCAGATTTTATTAACCGCCTTTATGAAGCTGCGGGCAATCTGTTTGAGTCTCCTGAAGAGGCCACACACTTGCTGAGACGACTGGCATATGAAAATGCTAATAAGACATGTCGCTCCGTGCTAAGGCCTTGGCAACATAAGGACATCCCTACCTTTATGAAAATTTGCAGAGATGTCATGGATGATGTTGCCTCTGGGGCTCATGCTGCTATGGCAATGGCTAAGGCCAATAGAGCGATTGACCACAAATGTTTCACTTGCGGCCAACCCGGACATGTGAAAAAGGAATGTAGACAACATAAGCCCAACAAACAGCAGCCAGGATTATGCCCTAAATGTGGGAAAGGTAATCATTGGGCCAGTGATTGTTATTCTAAGACTGATAAAGCAGGAAACCCCATTCCCCAAGAGTCAATAAATGGGAGAGGGGCCCAGCACACCGGGGCCCGAAGCAAAATTAGGTGCGCCAGCAATCAAAAAAGGGGGATCAGGAACAGTAAGCTGTTTTGAATTGTGGCCAACGGAGTCTCAAATATTAACTCCAGCTATGGGTCCTCAAATCATTGATGTAGTCCCTACTAAAAATTCTCTTCCCAATACTGGCTTCGGACTAGTGATTGGACAAGCCACCAATTTTCAGCGCGGACACCAAATTCAGCCAGCAATAGTAACTTTCCCCACATGCAAACCTAAAGTTATCGTTCAAGCCACCTTAGGTGCAGCTATCATAGATAATGACAGACCCCTAGCACAACTACTATGCTGGGAAAAAATTAAAAATCAGAGGGCTAAACAAGGAAGTAATTTTGCAGCACTCTCCTTATCATTGGAAAACAGACCACTTTGGCCTCTTGCCATTCAGGGAAAAATAATACAAGGCTTGTTAGATACTGGGGCTGATGTAAGTATTATAGCTGCAGATGACTGTCCTCTCTCCTGGCCAACACAAGAGTCAGAGAATACACTGGTAGGGTTGGGTACTACCCATGCTCTGCCTAGGAGTGCCAGCATCCTCACTTGGACCGACAATGAAGGCCATTCTGGACAGTTCCAACCATATATCTGTAAGCTGCCAGTTACCCTGTGGGGACGAGACGTCCTACAGGAACTAAGACTTACCTTGACTAATGAAAAGGGAAAACAACAAGGATCACAGGCTGTGTGGAACATCATGACATGAATGGGATATAAAGGTGGAGGCCTGGGAGCTAGGGAACAGAGTATTACAACGCCCATTAGTCCAAAAGGAGAAAAGGACAGGCATGGACTGGGTTTCCAGGAGGGGCCACCGCACAGCAGCCAATCCCTATAACTTGGCTCTCCTCTAAGCCAGTGTGGATTTCGCAGTGGCCCCTTACAGAAGAAAAATTGGCTGCTGTAAAAACCTTAGAGGAACAATTAGGGGCAGGACATCTTCATCCATCTACTTCTCCTTGGAATACTCCTATCTTTGTGATTAAAAAGAAATCAGTAAATATCGCCTACTTCATGAAATAAGAGCTATAAATAAACAAATGCAACCTATGGGGTTCACCCAACCCGGCCTCCCCGTTTTAACCATGCTACCTAGAGAATGGAAACTAATAGTAGTTGATACAAAGGATTGTTTTTTCTCTATCCCCCTAGCCAAGGAAGATAGACAAAGTTTTGCCTTTACAATTCCCTCTATAAATCACATAGGACCCAATGCTCATTTTGAATGGATGGTATTGCCACAAAGAATGACTAATAGTCCCACATTATGTCAAATATATGTTGCTAAGGCTATTGCACCTGTAAGAAAATTATTTCCACAAATGACAATAGTACACTACATGGATGATATTCTATTGGCTGCTCTCAACCAGGAAGAATTAGATAAACCCTTCTTTGCATTAGAGCAATCCCTAAACAATTATAATCTTATCCCCCGAAAAGATTCAACAAGTTCCTGCAGTACAATATTTAGGACTACGGATTACCCCTACCACAGTAAAGCCTCTTGATTTTAATATCTCCACTCATCATGTTAAAACCTTAAATGACTTAACAAAAATTGTGTGGAAATTTAAACTGGATTCGGCCTTATTGTAAAATGACTACTGAAGAAATGCACCCTTTGTTCCGACTTCTGGAAGGCGATGCACGCCTAAATTCACTCAGACAACTTTACAAAGGAGGCAAAAGCAGTATTACAGGGCAGTTGTAATCAAAATAGCATGGTACTGGTACAGAAACAGATGGATACACCAATGGAACAGAATTGAAACACCAGAAATCAATCCAAACATCTACAGCCAACTTATATTTGATCAAGGATACAAAACCAATCCCTGGAGTAAGGACAGTCTATTCAATAAATGTTGCTATAAATGTTGCTGGGAAAATTGGATTTCCACGTGCAGAATCATGAAGCAAGACCCCTACCTTTCACCTTACACAAAAATTCACTCAACATGGATTAAAGACCTAAATCTACGACCTGACACCATCAAATTATTAGAGAGCATTGGAAAAACCTTGCAAGATATAGGTACCGGCAATGACTTCTTGGAAAACACCCCAGAAAAACAGGCAGTCAAAGCCAAATTAACATTTGGGATTTCATCAAATTGAGAAGTTTCTGTACTGCAAAAGAAACAGTAAGGAAAGTGAAGAGGCAACCGACAGAATGGGAAAATATATTTGCAAACTATGCAACAGATAAAGGGTTGATAACCAGAATCTACAAAGAAATCAAGAAACTCCACAACATCAAAACAAACAACCCACTTAAGAGATGGGCCAAGGACCTCAATAGACATTTTTCAAAAGAGGAAATCCAAGTGGCCAACAGACACCTGAAAAAATGTTCAAGATCACTAGCAATCAGGGAAATGCAAATCAAAACCACAAAGAGGTTTCACCTCACCCCAGTGAGAATGGCTCACATTCAGAAATCTGCCAACAGCAGATGCTGGAGAGGATGTGGGGAAAAAGGGACACTAACCCACTGTTGGTGGGAATGCAAATTGGTTAAGCCACTATGGAAGTCATTTTGGAGATTCCTCAGAAACCTGAATATAACCCTACCATACAACGCAGCCATCCCACTCCTTGGAATTTACCAAAAGGAAATGAAATTGGCAAACAAAAAAGCAGTCTGCACCTTAATGTTTATTGCAGCTCAATTCACAATAGCTAAGACCTGGAACCAACCCAAATGCCCATCTACAGTAGACTGGATAAAGAAATTATGGGACATGTACTCTATAGAATACAATACAGCAGTCAAAAACAATGAAACCCAGTCATTTGCAACAAGATGGAGGAATCTGGAAAACATCATGCTGAGTGAATTAAGCCAGTCCCAAAGGGACAAATATCATATGTTCTCCCTGATCGGCGACAACTAACTGAGCACCAAAGGGGAAACTTGTTGAAGTGAAATGGACACTATGAGAAAAAGTGACTTGATCAGCTCTTGTCCTGACGGTTGATGTGCAACGTAATGCTTTATGCATTTTACTATTTTTTTTTGTTCTAGTACCATTGGTTGAACTCTGTAATTAACACACAATTATTCTTAGGTGTTTAAATTTTAACTGAAAAGTGATCCCTGTTAGGAATTTGGAAAACATTGTGCTGAGTGAAATAAGCCAATCCCAAAGGGACAAATACCATACGTTCTCCCTGATCGGTGACAACTAACTGAGCACCAAAAAGGAAACCTGTTAAAGTGAAATGAACACTATGAGAAACGGTGACATGATCAGCCCTCACCCTGACTGTTGATGAGCAACTTAATACGTTATCCCTCTTAGTATTTTTGTTTGTTTGTTCTACTTAATAGTTTTGGTTGAATACTGTAATCATACACAATTATTCTTTTTTTTTGTTTTTTTTTTTTTTGTTTTTTTTTTTTTGACAGGCAGAGTGGACAGTGAGAGAGAGAGACAGAGAGAAAGGTCTTCCTTTGCCGTTGGTTCACCCTCCAATGGCCGCCGCGGCCGGCGCGCTGCGGCCGGCGCACCGCGCTGATCCGATGGCAGGAGCCAGGAGCCAGGTGCTTTTCCTGGTCTCCCATGGGGTGCAGGACCCAAGCACCTGGGCCATCCTCCACTGCACTCCCTGGCCACAGCAGAGGGCTGGCCTGGAAGAGGGGCAACCGGGACAGAATCCGGCGCCCCGACCGGGACTAGAACCCGGTGTGCCGGCGCCGCTAGGCGGAGGATTAGCCTAGTGAGCCGCGGTGCCGGCCCATACACAATTATTCTTAAGTGCTGAAACTTTACTGAAAAGTGATCATTGTTCAATATAAGAGTGGGAATAAGAGAGGGAAGAGATGTGCAATTCAGGACATGTTTAAGCTGACTTACCTCAAACGGTAGAGTTAGAAACATACAAGGTGATTCCAATTCAATCCCATCGAGGTGGCATGTACCAATTCCATCTCACTAGTCCCAGTGATCAATTTCTGTTCACATTTGATCATAATGATAGGACTAAGAGCCAAAGGGAGCACATAAACAAGACTAGTGTCTGCAAATATAACCGATAGAATAAAAAGGGAGAGAACGATCCAACATGGGAAGTGAGATACACAGGAGACCCATAGAATGGCAGATGTCCTAAACAGCACTCTGGCCTCAGAATCAGCCCTTAAGGCATGCAGATCTGGCTGAAATGCCCACGAGAGTATTTTAGGCATGGAAAGCCACGACACTCTGGGGAAAAAAAAAAAAAAAAAACCTAAATGAAAGATCTCCGCGAGTGAGATCCCAGTGGAAAGAATGGGTCATCAAAGAAGGAGGTACCTTTCTCTGAAAGGAGGAGAGAACTTCCACTTTGACCATGGCCTTGTCTAAATATGATCAGAGTCAGTGAACTCAGGGGGCTTCCATAGCCTTGGCAGCTCATGACAAGAGCCTAGGGTGATTACTGATGCCATAAACAAGAGTGTCAATTTGTTACGTCAACAACAGGAGTCACTGTGCACTTACTCCTCATGTAGGATCTTTGTCCTTAGTGTGCTGTACATTGAGATTTAATGCTATAACTAGTACTCAAACAGCATTTTTCACTTTATGTTTCTGTGTGGGAGCAAACTGTTGAAATCTTTACTTAATGTATGCTAAACTGATCTTCTGTATACAAAGAGAATCGAAAATGAATCTTGATGTGAATGGAAGGGGAGAGGGAGTGGGAAAGGGGAGGTTGCCGGTTGGAGGGACGTATGGGGGGAAGCCATTGTAATCCATAAGCTGTACTTTGGAAATTTATATTCATTATATAAAAGTTAAAAAAAAATTTGAACAGCGCCTTAAGAGCACCGCTATGCAGCGGTGTGACCCCACTATGCCCTTAAGTATTTTGGTGTTCATACAAAGTCATTATCCCTATGCTTTACTCTGGCAAGAAGGACCGTTGTTGTTTATATACCCACATAACCATATGCCCAGATCTATTACCTCCTATGTGGAGGCTGTGGGAAATTTAGTTTTACAAGCCATCCACCGAGTTGTAGAAATTGCAGGGAGAAGACCACAGTCCTGCATTCTTCTGTTAGAGTCTGTAGTCATTCAGGAGTGGGCTAAGGAAACTTGGCAATGGTCCCACATCACCATCACCCTTGACATAAGTGCAGATAACCATTATCCCAATCATCCCTTTATTAGATTTTGCGACACGGTACCCTTACACTATTTTAAAAGAGTTTATTCTAATCCCATTCCCAAAGCACCCATAGCTTATACTGATAAGCAAAAGGAGGTACCAGGGCGGCTATTTTACAAGGTCAGGTGCATCATGCAGTTACTGCGTCTCCCTCACCTCAACATGCAGAGCTAGCTGTAGTGGCTAAGTTATTAAATATGGTTGAGGGTCCTCTTAATATCGTTTCTGATAGCTTATATGTTGTTAATGCTGTTAAGAGGCTAGGCTCCCCTTCGTTAATATCCAAATGTTCTACAGTGTTTCCTTATTTTGAGCTTATTCAGCACGCTTTATTTAGGAGATCGGATCCCATTTTTATCACCCATATTAGAGCACATACCTCCCTGCCAGGTCCTCTCACCGCGGGAGACGCCCTTGCCAATCAACATTCCCGCTTCCTTTCAGCTTGCACTGCCATGGAACAGGCAACGGAATACCACAAACTTTGGCACGTTAATAGTAAGACCTTAAGTATGAGATTTAATATCACTATTCGTAAAGCTAATTCTATTGTCCAAAATTGTGAAAAATGTGTTATTCATCAGCCTGTTACTATGCCCACTGGAGCTAATCCCCGGGGCCTTTATCCATGTCACACTTGGCAAATGGATGTAACGCATATCCCTGCCTTTGGCAAGCTATCCTGTGTCCATGTTACGGTGGATACTTACTCAGGAGTAGTTATGGCTACCGCCGCCGCCAGAGTCCACCTCCCATGTAATGCAACACATGTTACAATGTTTTGCTTTTTGGGGAATTCCTATTATAATAAAAACTGATAATGGACCTGCTTATACTTCTAAGGCTTTTGCTGAGTTTTTAGCAACTTTTCATATCTCTCATTTAACCGGCATCCCATATAACCCTACTGGACAAGCCATTGTGGAACGCACTAATCTGTATCTGAAAATTTTGTATTAAAACAAAAAGGGGGAATAGGGGCACTATCCCGTTCCCCTAAAGACATTCTCAACCTCACCTTACCATAAATTTTTTAAATAAAAAAGCTGATGGTTTCTCCCCGGCAGAACGTCATGTAATCTCGGAACAGACCCCCAATAGTAATAAACCCCATGAACCGACAGAAGCTCAGCCACCCATAGAAAAATGACTATGTGGAAAGACCCACAAGATAACAAATGGAAAGGCCCATACCCATTAATAAGAAGGGTACGAGGCGCTGTTTGTTTTCTCCCACAGGAAGAAAAAAATCCAATCTGGACCCCAGAAAGACGGACAAGAACAATAGAATGGCAAGATGATCGTGATCCTACTCCTACTAGTAACGACGCCACTGTCACCGACGATGGCCAAGCCGGATGAGTATTGGGGTCTCTTGAGAGCCCTACCTCTCCCTCTACCTGTTTCTAATTCTTCTAACCTTCTGCCAGTTGTGTATTTGCATAACTCTACCATAGATGAAAGATTCGGAGTGCCTTACAACAGTCTTGTCAATTCTTCCCATCAGGGTCAGGTTAACTTATCCATCCACCTTTTGGGAGCACTATGCTTCCACACGCCTAAGTTTGGCACAGATCTTTGTGGTTATAATCATACCAGCTTTCCTACGCCATGTATTAATTTGGCCACTTATTCCATGGGAGATGTTATCAACTGGAATAAGTCAGGTAGTTCTTACATAGCCAATATTACAGGGGAACTTATAGCCTTTCGATCTGAGTCGCTACCTCTCAGGTGCCAGGACAGGAGTTATTTCCTCATGTGTTAAAGGAAAATTAAATGAAGCGGAAACACTGGTGGCTGTGCGGATTCCTATTTGGGTTCCTGTACCAGTTGCGGCGTCTGAGAAGGACTTCTCTCTGGCTGTTCGACACAGGAGAGACTTTGGAGTCACCGCAGTTGTCGTTGCAGTAATTGCGGTGTTATCAGCTGGTGCAGCCGCTATTGGCATGGCCGTGAGCCAAACCTCCACACTGTCCACACTTGATAGCATCACAAGATCTACCGCCCAGGCACTTGATGATATACTGCTATTCAGCTGTTAACTCAACGAACGGATTTATTGCAAGATCAGACCTGGTTGGCATACCCTGTGTTATTCGATCTACTGCAGTTTGTGTTACCGCCTACCCCTACAACCACTTTTCATTTGCCGCTAATCAGTCCCATCTTTTGGGTAGCATGTTAAATGGTAGTTGGAATAAAACAATGGGCCGCTATTATAGGGTTGGCTCTTGTGCTTATAACAGGATCAATTATTGCTCGGATCTTGCAAGGGCTGTTCAGGCATCAGCGTAATACGCAAATGGTGGTTAAACAAGCCATGCTAACATTCAATAACCAGTACCCCATGCAAAATGGACAGATTCAGGTGTGGCTGAATCTGCTGGACTGGTAGTCAAAGACGGGTAAATTCTGAGAGGTCTTCAAGGCAACCAAACAGGGCATGAACGCTTCCTCCACACCTCATGTTTATGTGCCAATGACGGGTAAGCCCAATAGATGCTCTTGGTCACCTAAGACAGGCACGGTACCACTCCATTTTGCAAAGAAATAAGGGGGAGATGTTGGGGAATGGGACAGCCTGGCCAGCTGTGCCCCTCCCAACATGTACAAGCACGAGAAATTTAGTGCTGGGCTTTTTCCACCCTGTCCATTGCTAACCGCAGGATTCTGTTTTGACTTTAAGCATCCTGTTATTGCATGTTTCCCACATTTACTAAGTTTTGTTTCTTGCTGATTTGGTAACATGTTTTCCGCATATCATATATAAACAGGTGGACGGTGGGAGGGAGATATATAAGAGGGCTGGAGGAGGCGAAGACGGTGGGCGTACACGAGATGTAACCCGAGTCTGCTGAAAAATAAAGTGGAAGCTGAAAAGCTGATAAACGCGTCTGGTGTCTCCGAGGTCTCGCTGGCATTAACCTATCCAGAAGGTGCACGCCCACACTCTGCCATTTGGGGCAATGGGACTCGTTGGGCTTTTAATATTCCCTGGCTTTTCCGCATCTCAACTTGTCCTGATAAAATTTTTTTCCTGAACATTTGTTTTTTTCACAACTCATGAACAATATTTTCCAAAATTATTTAAAATTAAAATATAATTTACACATAAAGGTGTTTTTGCTTTGGGATTAATCACATTTCTTTTTTTTTTTTTTGGTATTGGTGTTATGGTATTTAGGAAATAAAAATGAAAAAATAAATAAAAAACCATTTTAAAATTGTAATGAAGAAGACAATTACATGTAACTTAACAGGATGCTAGCCAATCACTTAAAAAATATACTCTTTTCCACAAAATAGCATACTGGCAAAATCAACAAACCAATTCTAATTTTTGTATGAGAGGTGAATGACCAAACTAGCTTAAAACAGTGAGGGAGAGGAAAAACATTAGAGGGTTACTGCTATACAACACAAGGCAATATGGGATTGGATTAGTGAAAGAACAGACAAATAGATCAGTGGGACAAAACAAAAAGCCCAGAGTGAGATCCATATAACATATAGTCAATGAATCTTTGATAATAAAACAAAGACAATACAACAGATCAACAACAGTCTTTTCAACAATCTTGATTGGACAAATACACAACCATATGAGAAAAGAAGAATCTAGACAGAGATGATATACTCTTCACAAAAATTAACTTAAAAGAGATCACAGACTTAAACATAGAAAAAAAAAACTGTAAAATTCCTTAAAGTTAATATTGAAGAAAATTTAGATGACATTGCATTTGTGATTACTTCTTACATATATCAGTAAAGGTACAACCCATGAAAGGAAGAGCTGATGAAATATACTTCTTTAAAATTAAAAAAAACTGAAGCTGGTGCTATGGTGTAGTGGATTAAAGCCGCTTTCTACAGTGCCTGCACCCCATAAGGGCTCCTGTTTGAGGCCCGGTTGCTCCACTTCTGATCCAGCTCCCTGATAATGCACCTGGGAAAGCAATGGAAAATGATCCAAGTGTTTGGGTCCCTGCAGCCACATGGGAGACCTGGATGAAGACCCTGGTTCCTGACTTTGGATCAACCCAGCTCCAACCACTGCAGTTCACTGGAAGTGAACCAGCAGATGGAAATAAATCTTTTTAAAAAATTAAAATGTTCTGTAAAAGACAGTATCTAAAGAATGACAAGTCAAAATCTAGAAATAATTTCCAAAGATATATCTATTAAAGAATTGGTATCCAAAACATACAAATAATTCTTTTTTAAAAGATTTATTTATTTATTTGAAAGACAGAGTTACAGAGAAGGAGGAGCAGAGGCAGAGAGAGAGATATTCCATCTGCTGGTTCACTCCCCAAATGGCTGCAATGGCTGGAGCTGGGCCAGGCCAAAGCCAGGAGCCAGGAGCTTCGTGTGGGTCTTTCATATAGGTGCAGGGGCTCAAGGACTTGGCCCATACTCTGCTGGTTTCCCAGGCACATTTACAGGAGCGGCATAGGAAGTGGAGCTGCCAGGACTCAATCCGGCTCCCATATGGGATGCCGGTGCTGCAGGCTGTGGGTGGCTTTACCTGCTATGCCATAGCACCAGCCCCACAAATAATTCTTAATAGTCATCAATAAGAAACAAAATCCCAATTCAAAAACAGATCAAATATTATAATAGACATCTCAGGGAAGAAGATACACAGATGGCAAATAAGCAAATGAAAAGCTTACCCACTTAATTAGTTATTAGAGAAATACAAATTAAAACAAAATAAGATAATATCATACATCTATTAAAATGGCCAAAATCTAAACCAGTAAATGTTGCTGAGCATGTAGAGCAACAGGAACTCTCGTCTGTTGCTGGTGGAAATGAAAAATGGTACAGCTACTTTGGAAGATAATTTGGAACTTGCCAACAGAACAACAGATTATTAGCAGTTTGACCAATCCACCATGCTCTTTTGTATCTACCCAAAGCCGTTGAAAACATATTTCTACATAAAAACCTGCACCTGGATGGTAAAGTATCTTTATTTACAGTTACCAAAATGTGTAAGAGCCTACGATATCAGTCAATAGTGAATGGATAAAGTGTAGACATTTGAATATTATTCAGCACTAAAAAGACTTGAGTTCTCTACCCATAAAGACATGGAGAAAGCTTAAATGCATATTACTAAATAAAGGAAGAAAATCTGTGATAATTTCAAATATATGACATTCTGCAAAAGGTAAAATTATGGAGACAATAAAAAGGTCAGTGGTTTCTGTCTGTTAAAGGAAAGAAAGAAATTGAATAGGTGGATAATGGGATTTTTAGTGCAATTAAATTATTCCATATTTATTATAGTTGTGAATATCTGTCATTAAAAGTCTGTCAAAACTCACAGCAAGTACAGCACTAACAGTGAAGCCCCATGCACAATATGGGCATTGGGCAATATGAGGTACTAATGTAAGTTCATTATTTGTAACAAATATGCCCCTCTGGAAAGAGGAATATTGATAACAGAGGAGGTTATGTAAGTGTAGAAACAGAGATTATATGTGAAATCTCTGTGCCTTTCCCCATAGTACTAATCTAAAACTGCTGTGAAGTGGAATCTATTAAGTAAAAATATTCTTGATTTCAATAATTTTGTTTGAAGGAGTTGCTACTATTTATATTAGAAAGAATGTATGCTTCATTTAGACCTATTTGGATTCAAAATCTTTTTCAATTTCTCACTAACTTAGTGAACTTGAACAAATTGTGTAGTTTCTCTAAACTCATTTGGATAAACTGTGAAGAATCATACCCACCTCATGATATGGAAACTGCCTTGGATGTTATGCTTTTTAAAATAAATAGTAACACCTCCACTAGCATATTTAAGTTGCTTTTGTCTTTGAAATCTGTCATTGGAAAATAACTCTTACATCATTAACAACATTTCCCCAAATGATGGAATTCTGTTTTATTCTTTTTTATCTAAAAATATAAAATGTTTTCAGCATTGCAAGGGAAAAAAATTGTGCAAGAGGATTTCTATTTGAAAGGTGGAGCTCATCCATAGAAACCACTTTAGAGGCAGAACATTCATACCATAAGAAAGAAAATGCCATTCAACTCAAACAAATGTAACTCTTCTTTAAAGGAAATTAATCATTTCATCTCAAAAAGATTCACAATAAAAAACATAAAACAACAATTCTCATTTGTTCCAAGTCCCTAACCTGCTTACTACGTTTCCATTTTCCCTTGGAAACGTTCTGAAGTATTCCAAGGATTTGTTTAGTATTTAGCATTACATTTAAGATTACTTTACAAATAAATTTTAAAAATGAACAAATTTCTAAGCTTGCCAAAATTGTTAAATATGATTTACTATTGATAAATGGAGCATGAGGACATTCATAATAGCTTAATTCTGGACAGTGTTGAAAGATTTTGGCAATTTTTTCATCCTTAAGGTACATTTTAGTAACTTGTTTTTTTACATAGATGTAAAAAATACATTTCTACCTAATGTGCATAAGTTATAAGAATAACAGTACCAATTTATTAAAATGTATGGACCCATTTGTCCATCGCCTAGTTAAAAACATATTGCTAAAACCTTAAAAACCCTACCATATTCTCCTCCAATCCCAACTCCCTTCTTGATCCGCATAGGTAATAATTATCCTGTGTTCTAACACCACAAAAACCATTTTGTCTGTATTAAAACTTTATATAAATAGAATCACATATGTTCCATAATGATTACTTTATCTTGCTCAGTTTTACGTTTTTACATACATTCATTTTAGTGAGTGAATCTTTAGTTTCTTCATTATTAAAACAAAGCACCTGCAACTGCAGATAATTTTATGGAAGCCCACAAAAAATACCTTAACATTAAAGAATGAATTTACTGTAGCTCTGTTGTACAGTGCAGCAACCAACAACCAAAAATATTACTGACCAGACAAATGAACTGAATTGGGAACACAGCAAGGCCAATCACCCCTGCATTCCTGAAAATGATTATGGCAATACACTTTTCCTCAGATGCAATAATTATTTTGAATTTAAATATTGTACAGGAAAGTACAGATCACGCAAAAGACTCCCAATTAGCTACTGCTCCATAGGATCCACGTAAGGCTTTGAGAATGCCCATTTATATCTAATCCAATTATGTAATTAAACCTCACAAATAAGAATATAACCTAGGATTATTCAAGACTATCCGGAGTTATTAGGTCCCATCTTTTATTTACACTCAGTCATTGTGGGACCCATACTGAAGATCACGATGTCATTAGTATAAACTTAAAATGCCATTGCTTGCAAAGGACCTTTGAAAAAATTCAGTAATGCTCACATATTTGCTTCAGTTGAGCTACTAGTCCATGGTCTACATAGAAAGGGAAGTGTGCTGTCTCTCCCAGACACTGCCTCACACAACATTAGGATTGCAATTTATCAACTTAGTATATTCAGTGCTGCAGTCCACATCCAACAGCCACATCTACTTCTTTAAGAACTCTATAAATTTAAATCCATTAAATGTGGCTACCCAGCAACCCAGTTCTCATGGTAATCATTGGCTCCACTGATCTGATGCAGCTACTACTGTGTTGGTCCTTGCTTTGCCCTTCAACTTCATCTCCTTTCAACAAATCAAAGCTGAAATCTATTGATTATGTTGTCACCCATGTGGGTGTTTATCACCAATAATAATTCCCCTATGCCTTCAGACATTTGACAAGCAGGTTCCACAATTCTTTTAGAACATTCTGATTTCTATGACCCTCCTTAAACAATGGTCTTACCTCAACTTTTCTGCAAAACAGGGCTGCAGATAAAGGTTATGTACTCATCCACCATAGCTAGTGAGACAATGGGTTTCTGAGGTCATGATTCCAAAGAAAACATGTACATCACCAGAGTGACCTTATGGACCTACCACAGTTTGAAACTGTGCATTATCACTAAAAAATAACTTATTGTTCAGCTATCTTTCCCTCCAATCTCTTATTGGCCAAAGCTTATTAGTCCATGAGAATAAAATGTACTGTTCAGATAGCACGTGTTCTAAATGTCATCTTTTCAATCACTGGGAAAGCCAGAGCTTCCATTACTAGACACATGAAACAGTGAAAAGCCAAATCAAACAGATTTTTTACTAAAGAAAAAAGCAATCAATCATATATAAGGATCCTTAATCAAATGAACAGATTATCTCTTATCAAAAATCAGGGACACCAGAGGCAGAGAGATACAATATTCAGAATTCAAATATATATATTTGAACATGTATATACATATATATTTGAATATATATAAATACATATAGTTAAGTTGACAACTGTGATATTGCTGTAAATGCCAAAGTTACAAAGGAGAAAAGCATCAAGTTACCACGCTTACCACCCAGCTTAAGAATCTTGAAAGGGAAGAGCAATTCAATTGTAGGCAAGAAGAAAGAAGAAGAAATAAAACAACGGACAAAATAAATGAAATAAACAGAAAAGCCAATGAAACTATTGTTGGTTCTTTGAAAAGATCAATATAACTGGTAACCTTTTTCTGGAATGACCAAATAAAACTGAAAATTGAACTTACTCAAATGCGAATGGAAAAGTGAGGGCCATAACAGAACTTCACAGTTTTCCTCTCTTCACTCTTAGAAATGTTCGCTTTCTTCAAGATCTATAAAGGATTTTAAGAGAGTAATATGAACAATTGCATTATGTAAATTGGACAACATTTATTACATAGACAATTCTCTAAAAAGACACAAGCTATTGAAATGACTAAATAATAAATAAAAATATTTTCCTATAACAAGTTTTTTTTTTAGTTTTCTGTGACTGTCAAACAATAAGCAAGAAGCCACAAATTAAGTGACATGAAACAGCAGAATCTCTCTTCTAGTTCTGGTAGAAGTTCAAATCAGGCAGTTAGCAAGGATGGACATCCTCTAAAGGCCCTAATGTAGATACTGTCCTTGCTTGTTCCACCTTTGGGTGGTCCAAGCACTTTTTTTGGCTGCATCCTGCAAATCTTATTATCTGTCTTTATATTGTTTCACTTTTCTCTCTCTGTTGTGGGTCTTTTAAAAGGAGCATTAAAATGGCTAAAATCATAACAATACAATAACTAATGTTGGTGATGATATGGAGGAATTATAAGTTTCATGTATTTCTGGTTGGAATATAAAATGAAATGGCTCCTTCAGAAAATTTATGCTAATGATACTGAAAGAACAGAAACTTAATGCAATTACTGTTTTTGGACTAGAGCCTTTGGGAAAAGATTAGATCAGATTAGGTCATTAGGGAGGAACTCTCGTGATTGAATCACGGTGACTATAAGCAACAGAGAGACAGAGGGACCATACACATCTGTACACACACAGTCCCTGTGTTGCCCTATGATGCCCTGTGCTGCCTCAAGACTCTAGCAGCAAGAAGGTTATCCTCAGATATGTTCCCTGGTAATAAAATGCTATATTTAGCTTAAATTTTCTCATTGTTTCTCAGTATGAGTTTGCATTTCCAGCAGCAGAAACCAACCTATTTCTTTTGTAACATTGTGCTATTTTTATTTGCTATCTGTAATGTATCCTACATACTTGAATGCTTTACCTTCCTGTAGTTTGCAGTTCTCCATCAGGCAATATATATATTTATGTAGGTTACATGTATTAAATAAGTTGTTGAAATATTAATTTCACTGATACAGTAGAACACATCTCATAAGCAATGTTTATTCATGATTATTTTCAAATTTAGACAAATGTGAGACCAAAACAATGACTAAAAGCAAAACCAACAAAACAAAATGTATTTTTTTACTATAGAGTAAATCAAATGATTTTACCTAGAAAATTAGTTGGCATGAGGACATGTTAGGTTACAAATATTTTAAAATGATAATGTTGACAGTATGATTACCAATGCTATCCTTTTATTTCTATAAACCAATGATAAGAAATTCTAGTTTCCTTTACATATAGGAAGACTACACGGAATGTGATAGTTTGGAAGACAGAGAAGACAAAATAAAGATGCCCTCTACTCTCTTCCTTGTACCCAAAGAAGAACCAAAGTCACTGGTGGATAACTGCATTTTGAGGCAAGTATCTGAGGCAGATGACCAAAATTCTGCAAGAGACAGACTGAAAATGCCTGGGCTTGGATGGCAACATGGAAAGAGGAGCAAAGTATATCAGGCAAAACTCCAGCTCCCTAGCTGAGGAGACATCTCAGTGCAGGGGAAAGGAGAATAGGAAAGTCTCAACAGACCCAATCATGATGAATAGCAGTGTACGTAGCCATGTGACAGCTTCAATGTTGTCACAGCCTTGCAGATTCATCCTGGTTGTGGAAGCTGCCTGGAGTCCACATAATAGCTTTTTTTCAAATAACGAACACACACTAACTCACCACAAACCCCAGAACCCAAGTTCTATATCTTCACACCACCTTGAGATACTGTCTGCATTTATATTGCAGTATGGGCCAGAGGTCTCTGCATGACCCCATACTTGGGCCTGGACAGACACTCCATCAAATTAGCATAGGGAACTGCAATCCCACAATTTCAATTTGATCCAGTAGAATTTGTCTTCGGAGGAATGCTATCCTCAGGTCCTGGGACTCCAAGGCTCTTGTCTCCTGAGACCAAAGATCTGCCTCTTCATCTCAATACTGCTATTTCTTACGGATGGCTACCCACTGGATGGGGGTGATGCTGAGATTTATAGTAGTGTCACAATACTTCGCACCACCCCCTTCCCAATCCACCTCCCTGCCAAGAGTCAGCTACAACTGGACTCAGGGACCACTGAGATTTCATGTATGTGCACTCTAGGCAGCCACCTCTACCTATCTGATCAGCTTGATTTCAGCCAATACTGCTGGGAACTGACAGCAGGTGTTACATTCTCCCGCACCTGTCGTCTGTCAACTCACCACTTTTCAGCTGACTCTGCCAGGGACTGAAAACAGATGCTGAGAGAAAGTGTTAAAATCTCCCGCACCTCTTCACCTTCGACAAGCCTTGCCTGATGCTCGTGGGGACTGAGAGTGGGTGTGTAGAGTGAGTGCTACACACCAGCCTGATTCCTTCCTGTTCAGCTGATCGTTGGCCTGTGCTGTTCCTGGACCTGAAGAGGGGAACTATGCTCAACTTACAACCCTTTACATTTCCTGGCCAATCACTCCCGTACTCACACAGCTCTTGGAAATGAAGGTCAGTACTATGAGAAAGTGTGAGAGAAAAGTGATAAGTCCCTATTCAGAAAATTTTCATTATAATAACAGCAGGTTTCTTATCAGAATCCTTACAGACCAGTAGGAAATGGAGTGATATATTCCAAGTTATAGCTACACTAACTCAGCTGCTGTGGGATATGAAAACAACAAAGGAAGGACTGCCTTTCCAGGCATCTGACTGACAAATTTTCAGCAAAATAATGAAAACAACAACAATGGAGACTCCATGGGACAAAAGGAGAGAAAACAGACACTGCTGCAGCCACATGGCGTAGCCAGCTGCCGGCTGTGAGCCGCCATCTTGCCAGGTTAAGGTAGGAAGAAATTGCTGCATGTCCCGCTGCTCCCAGTTTTAGCTGAGAAGGAATTTCAGTCACCCATTGACTTTTACCTCTGCCTGGGGAGCTGACTGCAGTCTAAACAACTGCTGGGCTTGGAGCAGGGTAGAATGGTTGCTTTCCTTTCCTCCCCTCCCTGACCCGCACAGAGCACCACACTCGGCAGTGAAAAGCCAGGCAATGTCCTGATTCTCCTACCAGCATTGTAGTCAGAATCAGGGCATTGTGCGGGGCAAAGGACAGATCCCCTGCATCCTTCAACTTTGGGAGTTTCTGGGCTTTAGCTACAGAGCTATGCTCACACACTCAACATGAGCTAGGTGATTCTCCTATGCTGCTGGAGGCTAACACAAGAAGCAGCTCATAAAAAAATCCACTCCCACCCTTGTTGATCTGGGTAGTGAACCCAATATACCCTGCAACACCATGACCACAGCAATTCGTTTTAAATTACTAGGTGCCACTGAAATCTACTTGGTGACATAGGGAAGAAGTCACCCTGTAGGACTGCAACAGGGTCCATTTCACATCCTATATTCCTAGGGCTAGGGCTGTTTGTATTGTAAACCATCGCACCAGTTGGAATCTCCTAGTAGGACATGAGGAAGGCTGCATTTGTATCACCCAGTCCTAGAGCCACAGAAGTTGGTGCCTCAAGCCCTGGAATCACTGAGACTCCCAGTAGGACAAGGGGGCAGCCACCCTTGTCTCCCTCAGCACCAAGAACAAGACCCCGGCTATCACATTCACCAGGGAGACTCACATAGAACTCTCTGTGGGCCAAAGATACACAACCAAGGAAACCTCTTAAAATCTCAAAGTCACACTTGTATACCTACAATCTGTAGCAAACTAGTCCACTGTGTCAGTTATAGACACAGCTGACATTTATTAAGACAAAACAAATCACCCAGAGACTACACTCTTCGGCTCACTTAGAGCCAAAGCCAAAGCAGCAAAACAAGTGATAGCCTGCATTCCAGCTAAACCATAAACTCTATTCCAATAAAACCTACTGCACAAAGATGGTGCAAGTACACCAGGTGGGCAATGCCAATATAGGGATACAGGAGGCATGAAGAAGCAAGATAGTATGATGCTTCCAAAAGAACACAGCCATCCTCCAGAATTAGATTCTGAACTGAAGGAAATCTAGGAAATGATAGACATAGAATTCAGAATAATGATTGTAAGGAAACTCAATAAGATGCAAGAAAATAAAGATAGATTAAAACATTGAGGAAATCAACAAGTGACATGAATGAAAATATTACTAAGGAGATAACTCATTAAAAAGCACCAAATAGAAATTTTGGAGATGAGATATTTAATCACTGAAATAAAAAAAAAAGAATAGACCAAGTGGAAGAAAGTTTCTGACCTCAAGAAAAAAATTTTGAAACGATTAAGTCAGACAAAAACAAAGAGAAAAGAATTGAAAAGAAAGAAGAAAGTCTAACTGAAATATAGGATACCATTAAATGACCAAATATTAGTATTACAGAAATTCTTAAAGGAGAAGAAAAGAAAAAGGCATTGAGAACCTGTTAAATGAAATAATAGTTGAAAATTTCCAAGGTCCTGAATGAGACCATCTAGGTAGTGAACCAGTGGATGGAAGACCTCTCTCTCTGCCTCTAGCTCTCTCTATAACTCTTAAAAAAAGAAGTAAACATGAAACACATGTAACCACCAAATTCACTGACAGAGAATCATTACCCACTAAACAAAATGACAGGTCTTAGTTCTTATCTAGCAATACCAACCTTGAATATAAATGGCTTAAATTCACCAACAAAAAGACTTACATTGGCTGAATGGATTAACAAACCATGACCCCACTATAGGCTGCCTAAAAGAAACTCACTTTATAAACACACAGACTGAAAGTGAAGAGTTGGAATAAGATATACTAGGGAAATGGAAACCAAAAGCAACCAGGTGTAAATATCCTGTTATGAGATGAAATATACTTTAAATCAAAACTTTAAAAAGAAATAAAGTGCACTATGTATTGATAAAAGGTTCTATTCAGTAAGAAGACATAACAATCATAAATATATATGCACCAAAGCAAGAAAATACCCAGATATATACAGCAAATACTATTGGACCTAAAGGAATATATAGACTCTAATGTAATAGTAGTGGGTGACTTCAAAACACCTCTCTCATCAATGGACAGGTCATCTAGACAGTAAATCAATAGAGATACATCAGAGTTGAAACATAACATTGAACAAATGGATCTAAAGACATATACAATACATTTCGTCCAGTGGCTACAGAATACACATTCTTCTCATCAGTACATGGAAAATTTTCTAGGGTAGACTACATATTAGGTTACAAGTGAAGTCTAAGCAAATTAAAAATGACTGAACTCATACCATGTATCTTCTCAAACCATAAGGGAATAAAACTAGAAAGCAAAGACAAGAGGAAGAATAGAACAATCATAAATACCTGTAAATTAAACAATATGCTACAATTAAACAATATGCTATGTGAGAGACAGAGAGACAGAGAGAAAGGTCTTCCTTTTCCGTTGGTTCACCCCCCAGTGGCCGCTGCAGCCGGCGCACCATGCTGATCCGAAGCCAGGAGCCAGGTGTTTCCTCCTGGTCTCCCATGCGGGTGCAGGGCCCAAGCACTTGGGCCATCCTCCACTGCAATCACAGGCCACAGCAGAGAGCTGGACTGGAAGAGGGGCAACCGGGACAGAATCCAGCGCCCTGACCGGGACTAGAACCCGGTGTGCTGGCACCGCAAGCATAGGATTAGCCTATTAAGCCGTGGTGTGGACAGATCTATATCCTTAATGAACATAGATGTAAAGATTCTCATCAAAATAATGGCAAATCAAATCCAAAACACATCTAAAATATCATGCACCATGATCAAGTGGAATTTATCCCAGCAATGCAAGGGTGATTCAATATTCACAAATCAATAAATGTCATAAATCACATCAATAAAATGAAAATCTAAAACCATATGGGGGGGGGGGGCTGGTGCAGTGGTGCAGTAGGTTAAGGCCCCAGCTTGCAGTGCCGACATCCCATATGGGCAGCAGTTTGAATCCCAGTTGCTCCTCTTCTGATCCAGCTCTGTGCTTTGGCCTGAGAAAGATGGTTTAACCCCTTGGGCCCCTGCGCGCACATGGGAGACCCGGAGGAGGTTCCTCACTTTGAATCAGCTCAGCTCTGGCCATTGCGGTCATTTGGCGAGTGAACCAGTGAAATGGTTCACTCTGACTTCTACCTCTCTGACTCTACCTCTCTCTGTAACTCTCTCTTTCAAATAAATAAAATAAATCTAAAAAAAAAATATGGTCTTCTCAATGGATGCAGTGAAAGCATTTGATAAGATTCATCACCCTTTCATGATGAAAACTCTACAGAAATTAGGTACAGAAGGATCATTCCTCAAAATTATAAAAGCTATATATAAAAAATCAACATCCAATATCATACTGAATGGGGAAAAGCTAAAAGGACGTCCCCTCAGATCTGGAACAAGACAAAGATGTCCAATTTTGCCACTCTTATTCAATATAATACTGAAAGTTTTAGTGAGAGCAATTAAGGAGGTGAAAGAAATAAAGGGCATCAAATTGGAAAGGACAAAGTCAAATTATTCATATACACAGACCACATGATATTGTACAAGAAAAAACAATGTGGAGATTTCTTCAAAAACTAGAAATAGACTTGCTTTATAATCCAGTAATCCCACAACTGCACCACCATGTTCACAGCAGCCACTGTGGAAAATCTCTACAGGAGATTTCTTAAATAACTGGAAATAGGCTTGCCATATGATCCAGCAGTCTCTCTACTGGGTATGTAGCCAAAAGACTTGAACACAACATATCAAAGTGTTATCTGTAACACCATGTTTATAGCAGCACTGTTCACAATAGCCAAAATTTAGAACTAATCAAGGTTTCCATCATTATATGAATAAAGAAAATGTGGTAGATATACAAAATGGAATACTAATCAGCTATACAAACGAATGAAATTCTACCATTTGCAGCAAAATGGATACAACTTAAGGACATCATATTGACTGAAATATGCCAGACCCAGAAAGACAAATACTGCATGTTCTCCCTTACATGTGGAACTAAAAAAAGAAGAAAAAAATAATAAATGTCTCTGTGTATCAGTGATGCTGAAAATATAGCTTGTAAATCTTTGTTTTATACCTTTGTGAAAACAATAGTTAAGAATGTCTACTACTATAATTTTAATGATCTGTGATTACTTTAAAATTTACTATATATGGGTGAAATGGTCATTTTTTATCCAATTATTGTTTATGGCCATTGTCTATATTTCCATTAAACTAAGGGCTTCTTGCTTTTTGTTAAATTTATTTTTTAAATATTTATTTATTGATTTGAAAGAGTTACAGAGACAGAAGGGGAAATAGTGAGAGAAAGAGAGATCTGCCTTCCATTGGTTCACTTTCCAAATGGCTGCAACTGCTGGGGCTGGACCAGGCTGAAGCCAGGAGTCAGGAGACTCTTTTGAATCTCCCACATGGGTGCAGGAGCCCAAGCATTTGGGCCATCTTCCACTGCTTTCCCAGGCACATTAGCAGGGAGCTGTAGCAGAAGTGGAGCAGCCAGGACTCAAATTGATATCCATATGGGATGCAGGCACTGCAGGTGTCATCTTAACCCTGTACACCACAATGCCAGACCAATTGTTAAACTTCTTATTAGGTGAAATATTAAGCCTTTTACTGTAATGTAAATTTTTAATATATTATCTCAAAAACTAAAAAACAAAGAAAAGGAAGGAGGGTGGGAGAGGGAGAGGGGGAGGGAGGAAGGAAGGGAATACCATTGTGTTCTTAGAATTTTTTCTACAAAGCACATAGAATCTGTTGAAACTAATTAAAATTAAAAAAAAAATCTGAAAGAAGACTATTTCATCCAGTGAAGCTATTTTCATAAAGGAAAATATAGATATTCCAAAACAAGCAAAAACTGAAGGAATTCATCACCATAAGAATAGCCTTATAAAAGATGCTGAAGTGAGTCCTAGAGACAAAAAACAAGGATAATTACCATCAGGAAAAGAAGCAGAAGCATAAAACACACTGCAAAAAGAGCAAAGGATATTCAAAATAATGACAAGAAATTTTCAAATGATTGGACTAAGTCATTATTTAAAAATAATAACTTTGAATGTAAATGAACTAAATTATCCAATAAAAGATATAGATTCACTGAATAAATAAACAAGAGCAAACAATATGCTGGCTACATGGAATTCACTTCACCATTAAAGACATAGACAGAAAGGGAAATAGTCATAAAAAGTACTCTATGCAAACAGAAATCAAATATGAGTAGAAGCAACTGCAGTTACATCAGACAAAATAAACATTACAAAAATCTCATGATTAAGGTAAATATTTTTTGAATTTTACATCAAAAGCATAAGCAATAAAAGCAGAAACAGTCTAATGGGAGTATATCAAACTCACAAGCTCCTGTTCTGAAAAGAAAAAATGAAGGACTGAACAGAAAACATATAGAATGGGAGAAAATATTTGCAAACTCTTCATCTGACAAAAGAGTAATATCTAGGACAAATAAGAAACGCAAAAAACTTGACAACAGTAAAACAATCCAGGTAAGCCATTAGCAAATAAGCTAAGAAAACAGTTCTCAAAAGAAGAAATACAAAAGGGTCAACAAGTACATGAAAAAAAATCTCAGTATCACCACCTATCAGGGAAATGCAATTCAAAATCACAATGAAATATCATTTCACTCAAATTAATGTCTATTATCAAAAAGACAGAAAATAACAAATTCCAATGAAGATTTAAGAAAAATGGAACCCTTATGTCATGTTGTTGGGAATCCAAATTAGTATAGCCCTCATGAAACTGTATGGCTAATTCCTCAAACAGCTAAAAACAGATCCACCCTGTGACAGAGGTTTCCAATTTTTGAAGGAAATGAAGTCAGCATATGAAAGCCATAGTCCCAACTTCCATGTTCTTTGCAACACTTTTCATAACAGCCAACATACAGAATCAACATAGGTGTCCATCAATTAATGGACAAATAATATATGACAAACATTAGCAATGGAATATCATTCAGTCATGAACAAAAATGAAATCATGACATTAGCCAAAAATTGCATTAAACTAAATTATAATAAGCAAAATAAACCAGTCAATGGAGAGATAAATACTATATATTCATATTCATCTATGCAATTTAAAAGTAGTATATATGAATTGAAAACAGTGATTACTAGAAGTTGGGTTATGATGTATGCATGTGTTGAAATATTACCCTGTACCCATAAAAAGTACAAGTATTTAATATTCATATATTTATGAAATACATGAAATGTATTCACTTTACATAAAACAAAAAATTTTAAATGTGATTTTTTTGGATTTCATATGTTTTAAATATAATTTTTTTCTTTAAATTTACTGTTTCTTTGCATGGCATTTTCTCTGCATGAAAATCTATCCAATAAGAATAATGATTGCACTTATAATCATAAATATTTATTTTCATCTAGATATAGAAATAAAATAGAAATGTTTGCTAAATTATAGCATCATGTATATAGCAAAGATTTGCCAAATGACTTACTTTCAATGCATGAATGTATTTATTTGTCAATTAGTGATCTTTGCCTCTCTCTTAGCACTTATTAGTTACAGTTGTTGATTCTAATTTAAAATTGAGAGATGATTTCAGTTCACTCTGCAGGTCAAAACTTGTCTAATATTTAGTATAAATTTTTAAATCTCATTTTCTCCCAAGTTATAAGAGCATATTTTAGTATCAATAAATTAAAAACACACAGAAATTTTCTATGTCCCTAAAATATACAAAAATATGTGTCTACTAACCTGGAGCACATCACACACCTACTCACAGATACCATTTCTGGATTCCATAGGGATGCTTAACATCTTCATGCAAAATTATTATCCATTGCCAGGTCCGTGACCTGACCACATTGGTGGTAAGGTAATAAATCTTATTATCAAAGATCAGTAGGTTTAAGTTTTGATTTAACATAAGTATTTTAGTCATTTTGAACATATTACTGAATTTCTCTATCACTTTTCTCACTTGATAAATACGGGAAAATAGTACCCTCACTACAGTGTAATTCTCAAAGAAAATGTACATCTTGAGTTTGACAAGTAGTAGGCATTCAAAAAATTTTACCTCCTATTCCCTTAATTTTTGTTAGGGAAGTCAGATTTACCTCCAAAGAAGTCCATTTGGCTGTAGGGTGTATGTGTGTGTGTTTAAACTATAACATATGGTTATACCCAGTGAATACTAAAAATAATTTCTATATGGTGACTTCTGGGATCTTGGGAGGCCCCACCAGTGCACTGCATTTTCTGTTCTAGCTATGAGAACAGGAATCAAAACTAGTTTAATTCTCATTTTCCAGGACCAGTCCCATCACTGCACGCATTTGTCTTTCAAGTTTATTGAAGGCGTGCAGTGATTTTATAGGATCTAAAATGCTTCAATGTTCTCTTTTTCTTTTTGTTTGCAGTTATACCAGGCTTTATTGAGTCCTAAACTTTTTCAAGTTTGTATTTGAATTCTTTTCTCATTTTTTTTTTTTTTACTTTTAAAAAAAGTTATAGCACCTATACAGAACCCTTGTATATGACAACAAAAGCTTCTCAGGGGGCTGGCACTGTGGTGTAGAATGTAAAGCCGCTGTCTGAAGTGCCAGCATCCCATTTGGGTGCCAGTTCGAGGACTAGCTGCTCCACGTCCAATCCAGCTCTGCTGTGACCTGGGAAAGTAGTGGAAAAAGACCAAAGTACTTGGGCCCCTGCACCCACGTGAAAGACCTGGAAGAAACTCCTGTCTCCTGGCTTCAGATTGGCTCAGCTCTGGCCATTGTGGCCACTTGGGAAGTGAACCAGTGGATGGAAGACTTCTCTCTCTCCCTGCCTCTGCCTCTCTAACTCTGCCTTTCAAATAAATAAATAAATCTTTAAAGAAAAAAAATTTTCAGAGGAAGAAGTACAATATTCATATCTCTGAAGATCTCCCTCTTTAGCAATGTCATCCTTTACAATTCATACAGCTAGTAAAATACTAACAATTGCAGTATGTATATGATCTCCAGCCCATTGCTTACCTTTGAAATAGTAAAATATTTTGTTATTCAGCTTTCTAAATGCAATCAGTAAGATTTTAAATGGAATATTCAGTATTTTCCTAAACTATGAAACACATTAACTTTTAAAGCAAAATAATATCCTTTACTTCAAAGTATAAAATGTACTAGAAAATAAAAGCAACAGGAACATATTGCCCCATTACTGTGCCTCAATGTATTAATTTAAAGGCAAAGGGACTATTGGAATACTCTTTTTGTTGTTCAAATGATTGGAAATAAAATAAAATCTTATAATACTTTAAGCACATACTTTAAGTCTAATACATGTGAACTTTCAAATTTTTCTATGTTGATTAAGAAGTAGAGATTAACATGTACAAGTCTCTTTGTTGTAGACACAGCTTATTGTTGCACATGCATGACTGAAAACAAATAAGCAAGTAATTCCTCGAAACATACTCATTCGCTGTATTTATTTCTTTAAGGGACAAAAATAAATTCAGTATAAATTGATCTTCCAGAGGCACTTCTTTTGTAAGTGTGACTCCCTTTCACATGGTGTGCATTTAATGAGAACTACAGCATTAAACACGTTGGTTAGAAACTTGCCACTAAGGCAAGAAAGCAGCATGTGAAGTTGATTCCTGTGAATTACATTTGAAAGGTAGATTTCTAAAGCAATATGCTCGGCATTAATTTAAGTTCTGTCATTCACTCCAATAATGAAAGTGGGAGCCTTAGTTCTGAGTAACAATCAAACCCAGATCATACTGCTGTTTTTGTTATTCTTCACCACATTATAGATTTTATCAGAATGATTGATATAATTAAATTATGTGATGAATTACTTAATGATGGGATAGACTCTCACTGAACTTATTTTTCACGTGTCCAAATGGAATTTCTGAATTCTGATACCTTTTATTCAAATCTCATAAGAAAGTATATATTCTTTTTTGAATTTTAAAATTTCCATTTGCTTCTGCAGCCATTAAACAAATACCCACAATTTACTTTCTTAAAACAACACTATTACAGAACTACAAAGAAATCCCCAAAACATGTGAATTTTTGCAGTAAAATCCCAGTTTTTATTTAGCATTAGACTCTAATATTAATCTTCTTAGTTTAAGCCTATTACTTTCAAAGCAAGCTATTGAATAGAAAACCTCTATAGGAAGCAAACACCCAAATCTGCTCGGGGTTATAGACAGATTTTCTTCATAACAAAGTCTTGAATACTTTATAACCTGGAGATTTTCTTTCCATATTTTTAGCATCCTTTTTTACCCTACCAAGAACTTTATTATTCATATTTAATCTACAACTAATAAAAGAGTGTCTGTACTATGATTAAAATTCCCAATGTTACCATTTATGGGTCATAAAATATTAAGAAATATTCTGTTTAAGCAGAGTTGAGTAAACTTAAACACAACAATTGATAATTTCTAACTATGAAATGTATGTTTTTAAAGGTCTAAAGTAATTTGAACTTACACTACCTGGTAAAGGCATAGATAGTTCAGACAATTAAAAACTAAAAAAACTTTTGCAGACGCTTCAATGTTGTTGCCAATTTATTCTTGGCATAATTATCGCTTTTGATAAATTAATCTCTGTGTGTGTGTGTGTGTGTGTGTGTGTTTAGTTCTAGAACATTCAGTGTTAGGTTACTTGATGACTATTGTTAGGGCGTCACATAAGGGAAAGGGTTTATGGGGAAAACCCAGCAGACTGGAGGGAAGTGGCGAAGAGGGCAAGAGAGAGAGAAGGAGAGTGTAAGAGAAAGACAGAGAGGAGACAAGCTAGCGAGGAGAGAAGAGAGAGAGCAGAGAGAGAAGAGGGGGAGAGGAGAGAGCGAGAGAGCCACGTGTTCAGGAGCAGGTCCTTTCAAAACTTTGCTGGAGGGCGGGCAGGGAAGCAGGAGCAGTGAATCCCAGTAGGGTGGGAGTGGAGCTTGACACCTGTGTCGGGCCATGTGGCCACCTGGCTTCCAGCAATGGCGGCGGGGGCTAGAGCCTAGGATGGTGTCAGGGTATAGATAGTTCCATAGATAAAACTGCACCATTTTCCTAACAACTATGACATAATTTTACAGGGAATATTTCCAGTCTTTTACTCCTATAGCATATTGGATCATGCTTCAAAGACAGAGTCACCACAATACACAAGGAAACTAGATTTTTGCTTTTATCTTTAAATAGAAAGGACAAAGATTTAACTTTTCTTTTCCTGAAAGGGGCCTTCTAAAATATCTTCCTCTCACTAAACATGTTGCATGAGCCACATGAAACACCTGGATCAAGTGGGAGTCATAATAGAAAAATACAGAGCACTCAGATGAGAAATGTGGGGCAGCAACTACATATAACCCCTTTCATTTGTAAGTGAAAGGTACAGACAACTTTTCAAGAATATACCTAAGGAAAAAAAAAAAAAACTCTTTGTTAACTAATAATACATAATAGGATTAGTATCCCTTATCCAAGACTACTCGGGACCAAAGCACTTCTGATAATGAGGCATATTAGGGATGAGATTCAAATCTGAACATCAAATTTATTTATGTTTCATTTACCACTCAGACACATAGCCTGTAGACTTCTACAATGCTTTTAATAATTTTACGCATGAAACAAAGTTTGTGTACAAAGAAGCTCAGCTGCCTACATGCATGATCTACAGGAGTTTGGCATAATATTCATTTTAGTTACTCAAAGGCAATCATCTTACACTTATCCATTTTATTCCAATAAAGACTACAAGTATGTCGTTCCATCCATATAGCATAGTCACATCACCAGAATATCTGTACCAGTTGTTAAATAGCAGCGACAGCAATGAAGGGTATCCAATGTCTACCTTTTGTTATGCTTTGATTAAAACATTTCTGCTCACTTTATTTTTCAGGTGAGAGGAAACATCGGAAGTAGTTAAGGGACCGGGTAGTGGGTTCTCTACGGATGAGGTAGAAGTCTGTGTGTGATTCTTAAAAAGCTTTCCTCCAGAATTATCTGCTTCATTAACAGAATTTCTTGTCTTAGCATTCTTTGATTTTATCAACTGGCATGATTTCCTGTTTCATATGAATGCATGCTGCCAGAGTCCTACAATAAGCCCATAACAAATTTCTACCTTGTTGTCCCTAAGGCAGTTTTCATGTACTGTTAGACATTTTTATCA